TCTCTCTCTCTCTCTCTCTCTCTCTCTCTCTCTCTCTCTATCTATCTATCTATCTATCTATCTATCTATCTATCTATCTATCTATCTATCTATCTATCTATCTATCTATCTATCTATCTATCTATCTATCTATTAATCTATCTATCTATCTATCTATCTATCTATGTATCTATCTATCTATCTATCTATCTATCTATCTATCTATCTTTCACCATATTTCTTCTAGACAAATGTCCTAAAGAAATTCCAAATTCTGGTGGATTTGACAGAAAGACGCCACTTTAAGGACGGAAATTGGAAAAATGAAGTAGCTAAAACCAATCAACATTATTTTCTCCTTGTTTTAGTATTTTTTTGTTAACATTTGCAGAAAAACTGCTAAAACTTGTCATTTCTTTTTACTGTGACTATAAAAACTAAAGAATTTACGTTTTGCATGATGTTTGGTCAAAGCTTCAAGGAGCCGCAGACCAAGGACCAAAGAGCCGCGTGTGGCCCCAGAGCCGCAGGTTGCAGACCCCTGACATAGATCATCATAAACATATTGGCATTTTATCAGGAACTGAACGTGTCTCTAAATTAAAATATAAAGCTGCACAGGACACAACCTTTTTTTTCAATAAATAGTGACTTTTCTGCATGTCTCAGGTTTATGTGGGGACAGAATCGTTGGGGGCTCAGTGGTTCAACCTTACTCCATTAAGTATCAAGCCTCCCTCCAGTACATCAACACCCACTACTGTGGAGGAATCCTCATTCACCCACAGTGGGTGGTGTCTGCCGCCCACTGCTGGAAGCCGTAAGTTCTTGCAGCTTTCAGCTCTGTGACTCGAATGCAATGTGTTTGAATATTTAATTTGATTGACAGCTATTTAAACTTTATGTGACAGAAACATAAAACAGTCATGATCAGTGAAAAGTTGTATAAATCTTAGGTATTGAACTCTTCTGTGTTTTTGCAGGACTCAACAGATGAAAGTGGTCCTGGGTGAATTCAACCTCTTAGTAGTCGAGGGATTTGAGCAGACGTTTGACGTCATATTTAGCATCAAAAATCCTGGCTTCAACAACTGGATGCTTCTCAACGACATCATGCTGTTGAAGGTAAGAGCCCACCATGAAAATGTGGCGAAAAGTTATGTTTTATTACAAATAACTCGATCTCAATTCATAATCTGAGCTGTAGCATAAGAACCCAAAGTAGCCCTACTGTGTGTCACATCATAATGTCATGATTATTAGTGGCCCCCGTCTGAACATTTTCTAGATGTGCCCCTGATCCAACGAGCAGTAAAGTAAAACGCTGCTTTCAGTTGTTGCCGTTTTAAGACGACCAACTG